CTCTTTACCAAAGCAAATGCTTCGTAAGCTGGAGAAGTGTGTATGGCTGGTATAAGGCAGGATTCAACACTGCTTCATTTTATTCCATTTATTTGATGCTTTGGTTTACATGCTACTCTTACACTTAACATCTTATGCAGTCTTCTCTGAAGAGCAAGGAATTTCATCTTACCTTGTGGTACAACTAAAACACAAATGAGATCCTTTCCTCCTTCCCTGTCTCTAAAGCCTTCCAAGGCTTTATACAGTATTTATACAAATACTAGATATTCATTCTACAACTCTGAACTGGTAGGCTGAACAAGACCCCTTTAAAAGTCAGCTCAGACAGGGACAGTTAGGCCACTGCAAAGATACCAAGAGCTGAACTAAACTTCCTAAATTTCTTCAGCCTGGAAGCAATTATACCGATTGCCCAATTCACATTGAGAAAAAGGCAGCATACAATTTTAAGCGTATTTGCACGCAGTTTAGTTTACTGGCTTTATTTTATTACCAGACTGTGAAAAGAAAACTGCAAGATCTGAACCCATCTCCCGAGAGAACACTTCACCAGGCCTGGCGCTCTGCGAGCACAGCCACACGCTGCTCCACGTTTGAGGGAAGCTGGCATGAAACGCATCGCTGTTCCTGCTGTCTTTCCAAATTGTTTTGCTTGTAAGGAAACTGTGGTGTAGCAGCAATGAGGAGGAGGTGGAGAATTGCAGATGAGACAGAGAGCATCTTTGCGACAGCCCCTGACCCCAAATTAACACCATGCAATTCCAACGTGTTGATCACTGATAACAATACTATATTAAAAATGTTATTACAAATATCCTGAGGCAGTGTCTCAAGAATTGATTGATAAACAAGGTTATATTTAAAACAAAGCTATGGTTCTGACGCAAGCCAACAAAAGCCAGGAAACACAAAGTTAAGAAGGGAGTGTCAATCTCGACCGCATTTCCTGACTTGTGTTGCCATGTCCCTCTGCCCGACGTCCTTCCACAGAGCTTTTTACTGAGTATCTGTAACGTATTCACGTCAACTCGGACACTGTATAAGGAACATCTCTAAGTTCAGTCAGCTCAAAAGCTTAAGAATTTTTAGAGGCAGGAACAGTTATGTATTTGGACAGGATATGCTGAACACTAGGAGGGGAACTAATGGATTAATCGCAGTGTTGTGTACATAATGAGAAGGGGCTGGATGCTGCTGCCAAGTTGAGCAATGACTATTGCGTTACACTAAATAACAGCTTTTTAAAGACAGCAAAAGCTACAGAGATTCACCAGAAGCTACCTCATTTTTAGGCAATGGTTAATTTTGCTCTCAGCAAAATGCTTGTTAAACAAGATTATTTTTTCAAATAAACTAGAAAAGGTTAATGGAAAAGGCATCATGCAAAATGGGTTTTAAACAACACTAAGTTAATGTAGTTTAGAGATAACTAATGCATGTTTTAAAATACTAAATTATGTCTCTTTACCTGCTAAAACAAGAACATATATTAAAACAAATGCATCATTTAAAACAAAGAGTGGCAAGTTAGAAACCAATACTACACGCTAAAGCTGATTTAAAATCAAAACATGACATGAGAGAGTATACTTTTGTCTTTATATGATGTTCCCATACCTGAGTCAAATACACTTACAGGGCCCTTACAAAGTTGTTTTCCACTTTGCACTAAACATTTTAAATTCAGTGAAATGGTTCTGAAGAAACCATTTAGTGCTTAGTGTCCAAATACAAGGATCCTACACCAGATATGAAATGGTTGGACTCGATGATCTTAAAGGTCTTTTCCAACCTTAATGATTCTGCGTCAATAATGATTCTGTGTGTGTGAAATGCATACACAGTTAGTAATATATCCCTACTACGGGAAAAATGTAAGCTACATTGGTAACATCCTACTAAAGGAAAAAGGCAAGCTCAAGGTAATATAAACCCATGTTAATAATAGACTGATAGCTGAATACATCGGTTTCTGATCTATTAAAGAGACTGCAGTGCCATTTCATCAGACAGAAAACAGGGACATAACCCAGGTCTGTCTTCATTCATTCTAAACATCATTATAACCTGCACATTATAGTATTGTCGGTGTGCAATTTCAGAGCTACAAAACTATAACGACAGAATACAGTATTGATGAGGGATTCTCTAGTTAAAAGTGGCTTCCTTTACTCAGTTGCCAATTAAACAATGCCTGAATAAAATGCTCACCATCATCTGGTTTCAAGTTCTGCAAAATGCAGTGCTCAAAAACAATTACACCACATAAACAAGCAGGTAATAAAAAAAACAAACACCCTGAAAGGTTATTTCCCACAATAAGGAAACAGAAAGATCTGTTTGCATCTTTTCTTTCAAAAAGCAAAGCAGCAATTAAGCTATTCCTAAAATCAAGATTAGCACTGTTCTATATTCTTCTTGACAAATCCCATAAAATGCTCTAAAATCCATTAGTCTACCCTAAAAAAGGAACAGACTTCAGTTCCCCAAATGAATTGCCAGCTGTTGGAGAACAAGAAGTAAGAGGAAAAAAATATATCTATTAATGTAAGACAGAGAGAACTTAATTTTTAGAAGCTACAGGTATTCAACAGTTATGACATAACAGAACTAATATCTATTGACTGGATTTAGAAAACCTACACATTACTTGGAGAGAAAATAGTATAGATTAAAATAGGCCACATATGTTTCGATGTAGTTTAACTGAATGAAAAGTGAAGTCCAATTTCCCTTAAGCCAGTCTTGCAGTTTGAGCACTGCAGCTCAGACTTGTAATTCTTTCAAGACCAAGAGAAAACCCATCAAAATAACCAAGTACTGTGAAAGCAAGAGACTACCAAAAGAACAAACTGTTGTCTTATCACATTCCTTGCATGTTGAAACATCATCCAGCGGTTTGGCTTTTGCTAATTAAGAGAGCATACTGTACAGAAAAGAGCTTTCAGTAATAGTAGAGTCCTAAAGAAATTCCCCCCCCTCCGCCCGGTTTAAAACCTACATGCTGGGGGTGGGGGGCAGGGGTTGAATTGCAGTGAGCAGCTCTAAATGAATCTTGGATCTGATGGAGTCTAGCAACTAAAGCACACAAAGTAGTCTCAGTAATCTGAATCTTCCTCTTGGGGCCCAATGAGAATTTCACCTCTGCTTCTCAGCTTCCAACACTGACAAAGCAGACAATGCAAATAGCAAATGTAAAAGATGTGCATTTGTGTCTAATTTATATGTAGACATCAAAAACTTCAATCAGCAGAAGAAATAAAAATTATCTGAAGAAAAATGTTGAATTTACGAGAATGGTTAAGTTCACGCCATTCACAATTTGAAATGATGACATAGCACAGAATAGGCAAATGATATTATTTACTTCCAGAGAATGCACTGTAAAAGTCAGATATCCAAGTCTGACATCTGAATCAATAATGCAGGTGATCAAGAATCAGAATCCTGGAATTACCCAGATTCCTGAAGAAACTGGGCGCTATGCTTTTACTGTGTTCCTTTATTTATAAGCTTAGCTACACTTAACTGCCTTCTGAGCTTAAAGTTTATAAAAAAACCTAAAGAACAAATACTTCACAACACAGGTCCCCAGAGAAGAGAATGACAGAAGTTGCACAAAGTAGACACTGCAACGTTATTTGGTGTGCTAATAGAAAGTATTCTGATAGAACAAAAACCAGAACGAAACAGAAAAGGATGCAATTCATTACGTGGTCAGTATTTGCACTTTTAGCTACATAAACTAAATCCATAGAACAAAGAAACTAATTTATATTTTGTGTGGCCCTTTTTAATAAAAATCAATCACCAACCACTGTTGGACTGAATGGGAACAGATGGGATGCAGCTTTAACAGGTTGCTATACATTAGTTGAGAGAGAAAAGAATGAAAAGACTTTATTTTAATCAGAGCACTAAACCAATTCAGAAACTCTACAGCACAACAGAGGAAAGAAAAGATAATCTATAATCCTCTGTTGTGTGCTAGGAAGAAATAAAGAACAGGTTTAGTTGGAGGCCATTTGAGCTCTCAGATTTGGTGAGGGAAAAAAACAATGCCCAGTAGCAGATATCTTAGGTTGGCAAAGGTACCACAGAAGAGTTTGATGTACTTTCAGTAATTTTGCTGAGATACAAGGATACAAGAGTTTCTTCCACTAAAGGCATCACTAAAGAATGTGTATAGCTAAGACACATAAGAGATGTGATGAAAAGGATTGCAGTTCTCTATCTCCATTCACACTTCAAACGTCAATGTCCTTTTTCCTTCTGTTCTCTTCAATGCTGTTTTAGCCTCAGTTCCTTGATAGACTGATCACTGCCTTTCTGCAGTTTGCTATTTCCGCAGGATTTTGTGATATTACTACTGCAGGAAAGAGATGACAAGACCTCTTCAAATGAGCTATAGAAATGCAAAGAACTTTGAACGAGTGCCATTTACAGGAGCAAACGTTCACAGAAGCCAAACTAAGAGCAGCCCACTTCATGACATACCAGAATTAGGCAGCCTTCAGGCCACTTTGAGCAGATGCAAGCCAGATTATTTCATGCGTGACTACAATGTTGCAGTGCATTAGAAAAAAGCAGCCTAGATCAAGTAATATTTTGTATAATAACAGTGAATTAAGTCACTATTAAAGTGGCAAGCAACAGAGGGAGAGAGAGGGGGAGAGGAAAAGAGAGAGGGAGAAAGAACTGTTAAAAAACAATGGTTGAAGCCCCATATGGGTCCCAATTTAGTCTCAAAGGTCACAGAGGATTTTTACACATTTGTTTTGCAAATAGTTTCTGCAAGTAGAAAGAACACTTGTAACTCTCTCCCTCTCATCATCAGATTAGCACGTCCGCCTAACTGCGGCAGTGCTCTCAAACTGGCCAACTGTTCTCCTAACATGGGTCAAAAGTTCAGTCGTTAGCTGGGGCACTGCTGCCAAACGGACCTTTTCCAGTAATGCTCACAGCCCCAAAGCCAACTTTTTCATGAAACAAATATACATACAGATTTCAGTCTCTTCACGGCATCTTCACAGATATGCATTCCTCTGGATTCATCCACTTCAACATGTCCCAAGTACTGCAGGAAAGAGAGTAGGGGAAGAAAAGCTTAACAGCTGCTCCTTAAACTCCCTGGGTTTAAAAATCCAATCTCTGAATTCATCTCAGTAGAGCTGAGATGATAGACATTAACAGCACTTCGCTAGCCTTCTTTTGAGACCTGTATTTGCAAGTTTGTATTTATAAGGGGCACCAGCATCAGTAGAAAAGCATAATATATCTAGAAATTGAGGGAAAGACAGACTTTCCTTACTTGTGGGGGAAAAATTAAATTGAAAAGTAGAACTGTATTTTCCTGCTTATTCAGCATGAGCTTTAGTCAGTTGGTTTTTTTACTAGCATAGTTGAAAACTTTAAGTCAATATGGAGATGACTGTGAATAAATTATATTTGAATAATGATAAATATATTTAGTATTGAAAACTGAATTATACTATGTAGTAAGATAACCAAATACACTTGAATGTTCATGTCCAAATACAAGAAATTTCCATGTTGCAAACAGAAAAAATCTTTTTTTCTTCCTCTTTTTTAAAATTGTAAACCAAAATTGTTTATCTTCATTGCACCAGGCTCTTATGTGAACACTGAGACATTCATCATTCTCACAAAGAGTCTTCTAAAATATCAGTTTTCTATATATTCAACTTAGCAAGCACTACTTTAAAAAAAAAAAAAATCAAACATCAAAACAACAGTGAATAGAAACTGCAAGTTTCAAAGCTTTTAAATTAATAACCTAGAATAACATTAGCCTATAGATAAAGCAATTTCAAGAAATACATGGGAGTGTAGTGCTCAGGGTACTGTGGATAGTTTCATTTTACATTTGTGGGGTGAGGGAAACGACACGACACAGCTCTAAGTTTTCCAATTTCTCCCTATCTTTTTCAATCGTAGTTCTTTTTGATAGGGGAAGGAAATGTTCTCTCAGAAACATTCATATCCTTACTCAAAGTACTTAGTTCTTGAAGGAAACCATAGAAACTATTAAATAAAACCTTTCTGAAGTTTTTTAATAAGAGGTATGGGTCAAAGAAACTTGCCCCAATTTATATGGTATTGTAAGAATTACATTCAATTCAGCATTTAGATTCTAGACTAGCTAGACAATTAAGAAATGGTTTTAAAATATCAGAATCAATACTTGTGTCACTTAATGCAGTGGTAAAGCTTGGTTTAATAATCTCTTGAGAAGTCCCACTCCATCACAGAATATTTTGTCATGAGTTATCTGAAACCTCCCAGGTTTTTTTTTTCATAAATTAGGATACCATACTTAACTAGATGGACAGAAAAAGATTTCACTCTTTAGCACCATATTGAAGCACTCTATCAAATAACATAACAGATTGAACTAAATGGACAAACTCAGACTATTTTAAAGATTCAATAGAAATTTGAAAACTGGGGGTTTTTTTCATGCAAGGCAAGAAGCTCCAAAAGGAGACTCTACATATCGCCCTACATATCATTAAACTGATGAAAAATTTAAAAGATCTTAAGTGACAGAGGGCTTTAACACTAAATCTCACTATGTGGCATATTTAAAACAGTAAATGTGGATGGAACAATTCCACAAGAATTTCATTTAAACCAGCCTTCACAGCTGGAGAACAGCTTGAAAAAATAAATTGCATTGAAACTACAAGGTAAATAAGAGAGATCTGACACTTCAGAGTTTTTTTCAAAATGAGCTCTGTGAGGCTGAAGCCTTATAATCGAATGCTGGAGCTGCCAAAACAGCAACTGTACTCCCTCAGCTGAGCTTGCTGAACATTTGCACAAGAACTTAACTTCTCCAGAACATACACCAAGTAGAAAATTTTAATCCTAAAAATACACAAATAGTAACAACTAAAGAGGCATTTACCATCTGTCTGGAAGTACACATTTATATCAACAGCTATTGTAGATAGATCTTTGGCTCTGCCATGACTGCTCTAGAAGTTCCAGAGATGCAGACATTCTCTGGTTGTGCATATTTGTCATGGGAAAGTTTTGGGTTTAGTAACTTAAGAAACTTCTCTTTAAACAGGAGGGTTATAGACAGGAACAAAGCTGAGGTTTATACAGGACAGAAAAAAAAGATATATGCATGGAATAAGTCATCTAGTTTACATGACCATTAAGTATCATTACAAATAGAGGACTTTAGGATTTCCTGAGCTATCTGCACATCTCATTTACCCCAGTGCAGGCAAAATGTTCCCAACTGAAGATCCAAACCATTCAGTCCCTGTACTTGGCAACCTGCCTTTTGCTTGGAAAGGGAGAAACAGAGCAGGGTAAATATTGCCTCATGTCACACTCCAAAACAGACAACCATTTTCCCCTGTGTTGCCAAACCTCTATTCAAGTCCCATGCTCCAACTTTCAGCAATCAGTCATGCCACTGCTGCTACAGGCAGCAAGTTTAGCTGCAGTTTTCAATACTACTTCCACTTCAGTGAATGGGGACATTATTGCACATATCAAGTGCATCTACCCACCCCGAAAGGGTACAATCCACAGACCTCATTGAGCATCAATCAATTCTGAATTATAAAAGAAATTACACTGCCACACAATACTTCTTTATGATATAGAGGACAAAAGGTGCTTTGTTTGCACTTACACTTTACACTTCAGGCCCTTCATCAAAAAAACCTTGTTCTTCCCATTGCACCATTTTTGCAGAAGCCAGCAGCTCATCACTGTAAGTACCAGTGACCTCGCACATTTTACTGGCAGCTTCAAAATTCTGTGGGTTTTTTTCCTGGGCTGGGGTGATGAGGTGTTAATTCCTTATAGATACCAATATATTTTAAAGTTTCTTTCTTGTAAAAATAATTTTCAACTGTATAATCAGAACGCTGTGGTCTTTTTTGTAGCCAAGTCTCCCTTAAGCAGCAGGTCTCCTTATAAGTCTTCAGGCTTCTTTCTAAAAACTTCCTTCCCCCCACCACCCCCCCAGGCTGAGAGTAGATATACATGGCTCTTATGTTTAACCCATGCTACAATAGTTATCTGACTTTTAATGAATAATAATCAAGGACATAAATATTTCTTCGAGAAACTTGGCAAACAGCTCTGCTACAGACTGAGACCTTTTCTAGTACCCTACATTTTAAACAGAAGGGTTAAATTGTGATTATATCACTACCTAACCTTAATTTTTAAATATTAGCTTAACTTACTAGCGCAACAGCATTTTATGAATAACATTTCAAAATTCCATAAAGAAAATACAGCTGCTATCTAGACTAAGACATCGCCTGCTCTTTACAGCCTGAAATGAAAATTAAACAGCAGCATTCAGGACTTGACAAAAAAATCCCCAAACTCTGTTGTCCTAACACAGGAAAGAGACTGCATGGAAACCACTTTAAAAAGCAGATACACAAATCCCACACTTATATACCCAATTTTTCAGGATCTGTGAAAGGAAATTCCCTTTCAAACTAAAGGAAAGGAAACACACTGTGAAGTGCCTGGGCAGCAACTTGTCCTATATAAGTAAAATCTCATGCAAATCCATCATGGCACATTACCACACACACACACAAGGACTGGGATACATAACCACCGGGTGCACAAAAAACTGTATAAGCCATACCATGGGGGTTGATGACTTTGCAGAACAGTAAGGAAAGGAGTACCCCAGACATATTTGCAAAGAGCATTCCTTGTCGCAAGGATCACTGCAGCTAAGGTTCCTGGAGAAAGTGAGTACTTTTCCATCATGAAAGTGCACATAGC